GAAAGAAAGAAAGAAAGAAAGAAAGAAAGAAAGAAAGAAAGAAAGAAAGAAAGAAAGAAAGAAAGAAAGAAAGAAAGAAAGAAAGAAAGAAAGAAAGAAAGAAAGAAAGAAAGAAAGAAAGAAAGAAAGAAATATAGATATATATATTTCCAACTTTTCAGATCTTCGCAATTGGCAAACAGGCCCGGGGGGGGGGGAATTGAAGTGCCAAAAACAAACCCACCGGTGGGGGGAAAAAAAATACAATGGGGTGTAAATAGAAATGACACCAAAACACTATTATTTTAAGTTTTGGTGGGTTTTTTTCCCCTAGAAGAACCACTTGGGGATCCTGCTGTTTGCTTCGAAAACTAATCTGGGAGAGAATTAATAAGTGAATCGATTGGAAACTTTCTCTCTCTCTTGTTTTAGAGAAAAAAATTGGTTAACGGAGGCTTGCAAGCAAAGGGATCTGCAAGATGATGAGAAGCTTCGCAAAAGTTCCCCTCTCGGGATCAATGCACAGATCTTCCTGCAGGGTCTTCATCCTTACTTAACTCTCTAGTCATCGACCCTGGATTAAGCAGAAAAAAAGAGTCCGCTATCCAGACGCAACCGCCAGTAAGGATTAGGACGGAACAAAGGGAACTCAACGTGTTTCGCCTCTGGTTCACAAAAAGCTCTCAGCCTTTCTGTGCTCACCCCCACACCCCAAAAAAACCCACCCTTTTTCAAATCCCCCTTTTTTTCCTAACCTAAATTGTCCGCAAAGGACTGTCTGGCAGTGAGCCATGCCCCTTTCGTCCACACAACTGCATTCAAACGAAGTTGGCTCGCTGTGTCGGCTTTCCATAAAGGGTTATTTCCAACACCCCGGGGATGCCAGTCAGATGCCAGTCTCCGAAGCAGTTGCTTGTTAATGCCACACTGCACACCAAGCCGTGCTTTGCCTCCCACTGGCGGTGGGGATCCATACCTCTCTCTACGGAGAAGTTACGGACCGCGGCAATCTCCCCGGTCCAAGAGAGAGATCTCTTCCTTTCCGGTCCCGAGATCCCTCTGCTCGTCTCTCCATCCGCAGCTACGGCGAAGGGAAGGACCACCATGTTTAATTCTTTCGCTCATGAATTCACATTTGTTCTCTTGGGGAAAGCATCTTGGCGGGTTCCTGGCACGGTTCCCCTGCTTTGCTCCAAACCTTGAAAAGCTGAGGGTTTTTTGGGGGGTAGGGGGGGTGCTTTTTTCTCTAGCTCAGTAACAGCTCTGTACACCCCCCCCATAAGCCTTGCATTTAAATAACTATACAAAGAGATAAAAGAAACTTCAAGTAATTTTTTTTTAAGTTCGGCTGGTTCCTAAGTCTTCTTTTTCCCCTGCGTAAGCAGTTTCTTAGTTATTCTAGCAACGTTTTGCAACGGTGCCACCCCAAAACAAGGAAGTGGGTAAGAAAATTGTGCTGGGAATGAACTTTTGAAGGCTGATGGAAGAAGACTCACCCATTCCATCTGTGTGTGTGTGTGTGTGTCTGTGTGTGTGTAAGAAAAAGGCCAAAACTGCTCTACAGCAGCTCACACCTCATTCTTTGCAACTTTCTTCCTTCCCAGAAACAAACCCAGTTCGCAACAAAGAGGAACAGCACAATTAAAAACAAAACAAATCACTTTAAAAAGAAAAAGAAAATCAGATACAGTCAGAGTTTGATTTACCCAGAGAAAGTTTCGCCACCTTTCAGGGGAAAATAATGTTGTCGAAGAGACTGGGAGTTTAAAAGTCTTTGAAAACGCCAAGAAAGTTTGAGGACAGGAAAGGAAAAAGAAGAAGAGACGAATGAGAAAAGAAGAAAGAGAGGAAGCAAAATAGAGAAAGAAAGAAGGGATGAGATAGAAAGGAGAGGAAGGAAGGAAGGAAGGAAGGAAGGAAGGAAGGAAGGAAAGAAAGAAAGAAAGAAAGAAAGAAAGAAAGAAAGAAAGAAAGAAAGAAAGAAAGAAAGAAAGAGTCCTCTCTCATCTCTGTCTCGATGAGAATTAGAAACACTATTTTAAAAAAATTATCCTGAGGAAAATATCTATTGGAAATAAAGAGATACCCAGAAATGGCACAAAGGAAAGAGGTAATTATTAAACTCAAAAACAAAAGTGTAAAACAGATAGGTGGAGGGAAAATAATATATATACACCAGTATCACTTCCAATAAACTTCCTGTAGTCTCTCCAAACCACGCTAAATCCAGAGGGGGAATTTCTGTGTTTTCTTAACCAAGCCAGGATCGCTCGCTGGCCATACTCTAGCCATCAAACCCACTTTGACTTTGCAAAGGTGGATCTCAGTTCCTCTGATTTCCAGACAATAAATAATAAGTAAATAATTCCCCCACTGTCCCCGTCTTTGCATTTGATTGATTGAATGCACGCAGACCTGAACTCTACAAAAGTTTTGCCAAGGAATTCAGAAAACTTTCCTACCAATTCTCTCTTCTCTTTTAAGGCAGGGACCTCAAAACCTGGCCACTTTTTAAGACCTGGGGACTTCAACTCCCAGAATTCCCTCCCCACCAAGGGGAATTCTGGGAGTTGAAGTCCCCAAGTCTTAAAAGTTGCCAACTTAGGTTGGGGAGCTTTGCATCTACCCCAGAATGTACATTCTCTGTTTTGGGGTTTGTTTTGTTTTTTAAGGCAGCCGATTTAATCGCATTGAAAGTCTCCGTCAACAACCCGACGGCAGAGAAAAATCAACGCATTTTCGGTTTCAGGTTTCCCACTCCTCTTTTCCCATCAATCAAAGGAGTTTCCCTAATGCTAGAATAAGGGAAGTGATGAAAGCAACAGAAAACCTGTTTTGTGAAATGATGAAACAGAAAGAAATCCTAATTTTCAGAGAACCGGCCAGCCAGTTCAAGGCAATTGGGCGATTTTAACTAGCTTCACTCTTAATGTTTTCCATAATCTGGATTTTACATTTCCTACAGCTTTGCTTTGTTTATCTTTGGAAGGCTCTGTTCAATGATACAAATATATACAGGCAGTCCTCGACTTACGGCCACAATTTTTAATTTTATTTACTTTATTTATTTACCTTTATTGTCATTGCATTCCACGAATGCAATGAAATTTGAAAGCTACTCCAGCACAGTGCCCCAAACACCGCATCACAATCACACTATAGAGTATTTAAAAATTAAAACAATTAAAATAATAATAATAATAATAATTCAAAACCTAGTCTAAAACCTATCTAAAACATTTAGTAAGTTAAATAGTTAAAAATGCCACTATATACATAGGACTAGATCACAAATGCGCTGTTTGATTCAAGACAATTATTGCCTTGGAAAAGAAAATGTTTCTCAAGGCTCCTAGTCCTCATTTTAAGACGCCTATAACGTCTCCCTGATGGGTAACAGTTCGAAATAGGAATGTCCAGGATGAGAACGGTCTGTGGAGATTTTTAGTGCTCTAGAGAGCACTAAATGGATTTTTAAATGGATATAGTTAAAAATCAAAGATAGGATAGGACAATGAAAGTTGAAAAATGCTTTTCTTATTTTTTTTTTCTTAGCAGATTAAATACAAACTGGTCTTCACAATCTCTTCCAAAGAAGAAAGAGAGCAACCAATGATTTTTTGTGCTGTGTTTATAACTCTCTGGAGTATCTTATCCACTACAGAGCATCCAGCATACCACACCGTTACACAGTAGGCCAAAATGCTCTTGATGGTAGAATAGGTTGAGTCCAACATTTCTGTTGCCGAGTGAAAGATTTGTTAAGTGAATTTTGCCCCATTTTATGAGCTTCCGTGCCACTGTTGTTAAGTGAATCACTGCAGTGGTTCAGAAGTAACCCAATTGTTAAGTGGATCAGGCTTCCCCATTGGCTTGGCTTGTCAGAAGGTCGCATAAAAGGGTCATATGACTCCGAGACACTGCAACTGTCATATATACAAGTCAGTTGCCAAGCGTCTGAATTTTGATCATTGCAAAGTGTGAAAAACAGCCACTTTTTTCAGTGGCGTTGTTAAGTTTGAACAGGTCTCTAAACGAACTGTGGTTAAGTCGAGAACTACTTGTTGTGGCCCGCCAGCGGCCAGCAGAGCTGGCGGCGGACTCAGACACTGAGGAGGTTGGAGTGGAGCCTGGGCCAGTCCTGGAGTCTGGGGAAGGCTCTGACGAGGGCTCTGCGTCGGAGGCAGAGATGGGGCCAGGGCCGTCCGACAGTTGTCAGCTGCCTTCGGAGTCGGAGAACAGTGGAGAAGAAGAGCAGCTGGAGCCTGTTTCTGATGTGCGCATGCGCAGAGCTGCCAGGAGAAGGGAATAGCTAAGGAACAAGGGTCGACTTGGGGGTAAAGCCACAGGTGGACGCTGAATGGCCCCTCCCATAGGGAATAAAAGAGGAGCGAAAGGAGAGTGGGGTTTTGCAGGAGACAATTAGTTCATTTAATTAGTGTGAAGATCTGTTCCTGACTTCTTGCCAAGTAATCGCTGCTACAGAGTGGCGTTTGGAAGATATCGACCTGGCAACTCTCCCAGCCTGATAAAGGTCTATAGTTGTGAAATCTCTTGAAAGACTGTTTGCCGGGACTTTGCTGGAGAGGAATTCCCTTTTAACCTAAATAAAAGGGGTTTTATCGGGACGAGGAGTCGGCCTCCTGATCTTGGGAAGCCTAGGTCAGAATTTTTTTTTTTCTGTTAGGTCACCTGTGTGCACAACGTCTAATAAACCCCATTACCTGGAATATCTTTCTTATGCAGGAAAGTCCGCATGACAGCAATTTTGGTCTTTTCCAAACCATCCTTCGTGCCGCTTTTCGCTGCTTTCATAAGTTGGGTCATCTGCAGAAAAATCAGTTTTAAAAACAATTACAGAAGGCAAACGGGGGCCGTTGGACACCCTGGCCAAGGAAAACTCCCTTTTATTCCAATTCAGAAAAAAATAAAAGCTCATCCTCGCTTAATGACCGCTGCTGGGTGCAGCGATTCTGCCACTCAGCGAGACGTCACGTGACTTACAACTGGTTGTTAAAAGAGACATCGAGAGACTGTGAGACACTGGGATGGAGGTAAACAAAAGACTCCCCAGTGCCGAGACCGTAGAAGACTTGTAGTTCCTAAACTATAAATACCAGACAGCTATAGTCCTCTCTTAGCGACTGTCCTGTTTAACAACTGTACAAAGTTGCAACGGTGCTGAGGAAGTAATTTCCTAACTGGTCCTCGCATGTATGACCATCATAGCTTCCCTGAAGTCACAGGACTGTCGTTCAGGTGCTCATCCTGCCTGTCAATCATTGAAGTCCTATTTATTTATTTTATTAATATAAACATTAAAAAACGTTGAACGTGGCGGTCTTCTTTTACGTACATTTCAGTCAAAACATTTTACCTTAGAAAAAAATCAAAAGATATAAACCTTTATACACACACACACAGACACAGACACACAGACACACACACACACACATACATACATACATATATACATTTGAGCTTTGTATCTTTTTAGTTCTTTTTCTCATACCTCAGGTGTGAGGTCTCTCACCTCTTTTCTATTTTTTTTTATCTTAAATTCTTATTTCAGTTTAGTGAATTCCCTTTCATGTCCCTCCAACAATAAAATTTATTCCATACTTTATAATATTCTGAAAATCCTATTTATTAACATCTTTTTTGAATATTTTTGGGGGGATATCTTCTCTCTTCCCTCCCTAACCCCCAACCTCACTCGCTGACTTTTTGGAAGCCCAAAAGAGAAAAATTAAGCCCAAAAGAGAAAAATTAAGATAGACACAAGCTACGGGACAAAAAAAAAAGAAATATTCTGTGGTTTATTTTCCCCTCAAAAGAAGGTTAATTCTTGCAAAGCAGATGAAGCAGCAAGGAAAGAGCTGAAGATCAAGGACAGGAACAGAAAAATGCAGATTTTGGGGGGGGGGTTTTGCACCTCCAAATCCAACAGCGCGGGGAAAGGAAAAGAAATGGAGGGACACGGAGGAGAAAGGACAATACCTTACAATCGTATCTTTGCTTGAGCATCTCTCTGCCCCCAACTTTCAAAGCCAGGATTTTAGTCTTGGAACACTTTTCCTTTAGCCTGTGAAGGTCGGGAGAAAGCTGCCAGCCCCCAAAAATGAACGCCGGCGAAAGGAAGCCGTGGGAGAAGGAAGAGAGAGAGAGAGACAGGCACAGAAATCGGGGTGAGCAAGCCAGCATCTTAGCAAAGGCAGGAAAACACCGCAAAGTGCTGCGTGGATGGCAGACAGCAAGCAGCAGAAGCAGCAAGGTTAACAGCTTCCCTACGGCCCCTTTTGGAGGGTCCTGCTGCCCCCCACCCCACTTGGATCTCGGAGGTGAATTCGACATCCCCAACCGAGAGAAATTGGAAGCACCAAAGGTGCTTTTAAAGGAGACGTTGCAAGTCTTTTTCTAGAAGTCCGCTAAAGACTGAAGATGCTTCTCTAAGGCAGGATGTCTCCAAACTTGGCAGCTTTAAAGACTTGTGGACTTCAACTCCCAGAATTCCTCTTGGGTGGCTTCAATATGACTCAGATGAGGGAATAGGAGGGGAACTTACCAAATTTGTGGACGATAGTAAGCTGGTAGGAATAACAGCCAACACCCTAGAAGATAGGCTGAAGATCCAGATGGATCTTGACAGACTTGAACACCGGGCCCTATATCTAACAAAATGAAATTCAGTGTAGAGAACAGTCTTACACTTAGGCAAGAAAAACCAAAAATGCATATATAGACTGGATGAAACCAGGCTCAATAGCAGTAACTGTGAGAGGGATCTTGGAGACTTAGTGGACAACCACCTAAATAGGAGCCAGCCGTGTGCAGCAGCCGCCAAAAAAGCCAACGCAATCCTAAAGTGCATTAACAGAAGGATACAATCAAGATCAAGGGAGGTGCTAATACCACTCTATAAAGCCTTAGTAAGGCCACACCTAGAGTACTGCATCCAGTTTTGGTCACCACACCATAAAAAATATGTTGAGATTCTAGGAAAAGTGCAGAGAAGAACAACCAGAGGACTGGAGGCTAAAACCTACAATGAACAATTGCAGGAACCGGGCCTGGCTGGTCTAGGGAAGAGAAGGACCAAGGGAGACAGGAGAGCATCTTCCAATATTTGAGGGGCTGCCTCAGAGAGGAGGAAGGGGGTCAAGCTATTCTCCAAGGCACCCGGAGGCCAGACAAGGAATAATAATGGATGGAAACTGATCTGGGAGAGATTCAACCTGGAAATAAGTGAGAACAATCAACCCATGGAACAGAAGTTGCCTTCAGAAGTTGTGGGAGCTTCATCACTTGAGACTTTCAAGAAGAGACCAGACTGGCCTCTGACAGAAATGGTGTAGGGTCTCCTGCTTGGGCAGGGGGGGTTGGACTGATGACCTATAAGGTCCCTTCCAACTCTGTTCATCTGTTAAATTATCTGTTAAAATCCTGGGAGTCGAAGTCCACAAGTGTTCAAAGTTGCCAAGGTTTGGAGGCCTCTGCTCTCGGGGACCGATAAGTCGCAGGCTCCCGCAAAGGGGCTCTTTTCCCTCCTGACCCCCGAATTACCTTCGGCTGGAAGGAAACTTTGGGCTTGGCGTGAGGCGCATGGGCTTTGTTTTCGTCGGCCGAGTCTTCGCTGTAGCTTTCGAATTCGCTGGAGCTCCAGCCTAAATCTTCAGGCTCCTGGGAGCCGAGCTTGGCGTGAGGGACATCTTCGTAAATTAAGCTTCTCTCTGAATCTGGAAGAGGGGAGAATCGGCGGTCAGTTCTTTGCTGAAAAGCGGGAGAAGAAGCGGGTTCCTCCCCAGCACAAGGAGGCTTCAAGAGGAGAAGAAATAACACCACCAGGAAGGAGAAGATGAAACGGAAGAGCGGACATTGGTGGCGCAAGGATGAAGTCAAGGAAAAAGAAAGAAAGTGGAATTAAGAGGAAAAAGTTCGGATGACAGGTAACCCTCGAAGGACGAACCACAACGGAGCCCAACACTTCATGTTGCTCACCGAGACAGCTGCCAAAATGAGTTCTGCTCCATTTTTACGACCTTTTTCACCAGGTCGTGAAGCGAATCCCTGCCACTGACGTTGGTCGTACGGTAGTTAAGTGAATCTGGCTCCCAAAGCACCTGAAGGCCGGACAAGGAATAATAATCATGGATAGAAACTGAACCGGGAGAGATTCAACCTAGAAATAAGGACTTTGCTGGTTGGAAGGTGTCGTGGTCCGCCGGCAGCCTGTGCAGACGGCAGTGGAATTGGACAGTAGGGAGGAACACGGGCCAGTCTGGGAGTCTGGGGAGGACTCGGACAAGGGTCCTACGTCCGATACAGAGATCTGGGAGTTATGTGCTGGCTCCGGAGCCGCCAGAATCTGACAGCAGCGAGGCAGAGGAACAGGGGGAGCCTGTTCCCAGTGTGCGTATGCACAGAGCTGCCAGAAGGCAGGAACAGTTAGGGCAAAAGGGGCGACTCGGGAGTAAGGCTTGGAGATGATTGGCTCTCCCATAAGACATAAAGGAGGAGCAAAGGGGCAGGAGCCTTTGCAGGAAGCAACTTTGTTCGTACCGGTCGGTTTGAAACCTGAAGCTCGGTGTTGAATTTGTGTTCCATTTTGGCCTCATATAACTAATTGGAAATGTAGTCGTTGGCAGCATTTCAAGGAAGATAAAGGTGCGTGCTTATCAGACTTATCCTGAAGGACTTTGGCAGACTTCCAGGGGACTATTTACAAACTCTTTCAGACTCATTACGGGGTATGGATAAGTAAAATTCATGGGCGTTAAAATAAAGAAAAAAGGGTGTTTATTAGTGTCTCCATAAGCCTTGGTCAGAACAGAAAGTCACAAAAAGGGATCACGTCACCCCCACCAGGACACTGCGGCCGTCATAAATGCAAGTCAGTGGCCAAGGATCTCAATGTAAATCGCATGACCACAGGGACCCTATGGCGGTCATAAGTGTGGAAAAAAATGGTCATTGGTTACTTTTTTCAGTGACCTTGTAAGTTCGGTCATAAATGAACTGTTGTAGGTTGAGGACTAGCTGTATTGTCCAACTACAGGTAGTCCTTGGCTTACAACCATTCATTTAGTGACTGACTGAAGTTAAAACAGCGCTGGAAAAAAAATGACTTAGAGGACCGTTTTTCACACTTACGACCGTTGTAGCCTCCTGATGATCAAAATTCAAACTCTTTCCCAACTGATTCATAGTTATGACGGTCGCAGTGTCCCGAGGTCACGGGATTCTCCTTTTGCGACCTTCTGACATGCGAACTCAGTAGGGAAGCCAGATTCCGCTTAACAACTGTGTTACTAATTCAAGAACTGCAGTAGGATTCACTGAACGACAGTGGCAAGGAAGGTTGTAAAATGGAGCAAAACTCACTTAGCAACCATCTCGGTTAGCAACTGAAATTCTGGGCTCAATTGCAGTTGTAGTTCGAGGACTACCTACATGCTAGAATACCTTCCTGAGTGAAACTTGGTCCAATGTCTTGCTAGACTCAGCTGGAAATTTTTATTTAAAACAAGATGAGAAATTCATAAGCCCCTAAATGCTTATATTCTGTAGTGATGACTAACAAGTAAAGAAGTAATTAAATATTGCACCATCGACTGTTTCCCAGGTGGCGAAAGCAACATTAAATATCATCTCGCTGTGCTGAGCAGGAAAAATAAAAACAGGAATTTCAAAACAGAAATATTTTAATGATAAGCACGCTCTGAAAAGCCCTTTTAGGGTTTTGCCAACCCAGACCAGGTCAGCTAACATAAAAAGTGACTTTGATTCGTTGTCTTTTATTGGCTAAAAGAAAAATGTTACAAATCAGACCTGAAAATGTTAAGGAATTGTAGAAAAAGCATTGAGGTTTGACAAGAAAAATCCCCTGGCTTCTATAAAAATGGATTAATTTCAGAGAAACATTGCAGTGGGGGAAAAAAACACAAAACAAAATAAAGTATAAAGAACTGATGTTTAACCACGGAGGGATTAGGAGAGAAAAGATAAATGAAAAACAAATAATTTCCACTTCAGCATGGCTGCCCGCTTTCCTATAAACTATAAAAATGGTTTAAATAACTAAAAGTTACTTAATACAAAAATAACTAAAAGTTACTTAAATAGCTAAAAGTTATTTAAATAACTAAAAGTTACTTAAATAACTAAAAGTTACTTAAATAACTAAAAGTTATTTAAATAACTAAAAGTTACTTAATACAAAAGAGACACTTTTGTATTAAGGATTACTTGAGCACGGGAGGGCAGATAAAATTCCCGTAAGCATGTTTGGAATGTCATTCTTGACTTCTGTTCAGAGATGAAAAATAAAGTGGGAAATCACTTATTAACCTGAAGAAGAAAATCCCTCTAAGATTTGGAAGTCAGTTAAAAAAAAAACACTGAATATATTCTTTTAATTCATTTAAAACAGATTAAATTGGAGTTGCGTTGTACTAAGAGCAGGTAGATAAACAAGCCCAACACCACAGATTTATTTATCCAGAATAATGCATCGGTTGCATTTCTTTTCTTCTAGAGTTTTATCATCCTCTCTCTCTCTCTCTCTCTCTCCTGATTTCACATCCAAATATTGTAGATTTATTAAGCCTCCTTCCTTAATTTCCTTTTTTTTTTTTTTTTTTGGTTTGGCAACAAATCCTTGCCAAAGACCATTTTTAGCAAGACAGGTAAAAGAATGTTTGTGATAAGAAGGAGAGGGGAAAGAAAATGGTGTGACCTTGAGCAAAGACGTGCAAGAAGAGAGACGTGAGGGGTGTGTGTGCCTACCACAGTGCTGTAAATTGACTTTTTCGTAAGGAACATCATCGTAAATCACTTCATCGTCAACAGACGGGAAGGTAAACTGATCACCTGCAACAGAGAACGGCACAAGGTAGGGAGGGCAATCGAACCTAGGATGAACCCGACCACACGGAAGACAACCGACTCTTTAGGCCACCATGAGGACTAGAAACATGGCCGGATGGAGCGGCACAGGGAGCGATCCGCTGCTCCCCACGGTAGAAAATAGGGTCCTACCTTGAGATGAATGTCTTCGCTTCCAGGTGTAGATTCGTGTCCCCGCCTGGGAAAAATCTCCATTGCTCACCGGGCCCACCGATCTGGAACAAGATTTTGAAAAACTGAAGCCAAGCAAGCAAACTATTATTCCGTCTTAAAAAGAGGGGGCTGATCAGCTGCCCTTCTAACCCTCTAAGTTTTCACGGGGATCCTAATTTTGTAACCTCCAGCCAAAATGGATATTCCTGAACTTCGTCCACCTGGCAACCTTTTTATGGCACCTGGGCAGGTGTGTCTTAAAGGAAGTAAGCAATGCCATGCCCCTGCCCCCCCAAAAAATCAACTAGAATCCACTCGCTAAGGGATCTTGATATCTTCCTTTGACACCCAACTTCTTCCTAAAAAAACAAACCCACGCCCCAAAATATCAAGAAGGGCATAGAGAGGCCTTCGCCGGATGAAAAGTTCTTCCCTTGTAACACCAACTGATGCGAAGTTTCTACCAAACTCCTAAACTGCAGCTATTAAAGGACGGTACAAAATACTTGCCCGGGTTTTAAAAAGCACCGTTTTGCACAAATTTCCCAGCTTATAGAGGGCATGGTTTAATTAGCAGGTAATTGGGGGAAAGGGGGGAAGTGCTACGGGGGACCCCTCTCTAAAGCTATCCGCAGCGCATAATTACTCTTAGGAAACTGTCACTAAGCATTTAACATGGATTAAAGAGCCTTGGAAGCAGCCCAACAGTGCCAAGTGGCAAAAAAATAAATAAATCCCCACCCACCTTCAAGGACACAAGCACAGCCTACTAAAACTTTTCCTCCACCATCCCAGCATCTTAATTTAGGGGGGGGGGGAAAGTTGTTTTTTGTTAGTCTGCCAAAATTTCCCGCAAATAAACCCCACATCACCAGCCCTCTCTGTCCCAGCTGACTCACGATGTGCTGATATTTTGAATGTGCCTGGAGCTGATTCGCTGTTAAATAAAAAATAAAAAATAAAAATAACCAACGACCCAGAATCTCCCACGATCTATAATGCCTTTTACTGTTTTTATGAGCATCCTTCTCCCACTTATCGAGGGGTTGGTGGGCTTTTTGGCACGGAGTTGCAAGGCTCCTGCTCACCCTCCTATCTCTTCTACAGTTCCCCCACCCCACCCCAACCCCCCGCCCGCCCCCACTCCAAATTTCTGGGCACACGGAGGGGGAAATTGACAGAAAATCCTACCCTCTCGTTGGCAGAAGTCTCTTGCAAGCATCCACGCCTTCCAGGGGGATGGATATTTATATTTCCACACACACACACACACACACGTCCTTTTTTTGATCAAACTCTTCTTATGCAGCAATACAGCACCAGGCCCATCCCCTCTCTTTGCAGGGCACGAGATAGGCTGCCCACCCCGTTCTCATCTTTGTAAATGGAGCCTTTTTTTCCAAGTTGGCCTCCTCCCATTCCTCCGCTTAATGGACAGAGCCTGGAATTGACTCCCAATAAAAGCCATTCTCACTGGCACGAGAGAAGGGACAGAAAGACCTCTCGCCAAGTGCATTAACTAGGACTGCTAACAGCAAAGAAGAAATACATTTAATTATTCATGTATTAGCAGCAGCCAGGATTGGGTTTGCTCAGAATTGGATAGGACGATAAAATACCAGCCGGAGGAAAAGGTGACTGCGGAAATATTCGAATGCGCAGAGATGAATAGATGAACACTGGCCATTAAAGAAAAAGAGGAAATTGAACGTGACATGCCGTGGGGTTTTATTTTGATCAACGGTTAGAAAATAAAGCAAGTTAAAGCTGAGCAGATGAGTATGTAAAGAAATTAGTTAAGGTTGTTATAAAGGCAACAGGTATAAGAGGAAATGATTTATGATTTATAAAGAAAATGTGATTGCTGTTATATTGGTAAGAAAAAATATTAATTATGATAGTTAGCACAAGATATATGCACCCTGTTGACACACTGTATGGATGAAAGATGGAATTATTGTAAATATTAAAAATAAAATTAAAAAATTAAAAAGTGCATTAACTAGGCAATACACACACACACATATTGTATATATACACACACATAAACATACATACATACATACATACATACTTATTTCATTAGCCTTTAAGTCTGTCTGGATTCCTCTGTGGTAGAAATCTCCAACTTGCCAACTTTAAGACTTGTGGACTTCAACTCCCAGAATTCCTTACACAGCTTAACTGGCTAAGAAATTCTGGGAGTTGAAGTCCACAAGTCTTAAAGTTGCTAAGTTTGAAGACCCCTGCTCCATGGGAACCAGGAAGCAGCTCGGAATAATAAAAATTCCCAGAAACCGGAAAGAAGATGAAATGCTGGCTTGCATTCTTTCTTCGTTTCTCAACAGCTGCAAGATTTGATCCTTCCTTTGTCTCAGTTTGGGGGGGGGAAAGGGGGGGGTGGGAGGCAAAATGAATAAGGATCCTTTCCCAAATTAATCCAAACTATGGCAAAAAGAAAAGAGAAAAAAAAACGTGTTATCATAACTGTAGGAAGAGTTTCCTAATCTGTTATCTATGGCCACATCTCTACACTGGGCTAACTCAAAGCGAAAAAGACCCATTTCCATTTTGCAGAACTCTAGAGCAGGCAAGAAGCCAAAAGAAAATTTTAACAAAAGAGAAGTAAAAGCAAAAAAACAAGGAAAAAATCCTCAGGCGAAATTTGAAAGATGGTAGAAGATACCCAGGTTGAATTGTCTTCAGGCGTCCCTTTTAAAAGATGTTGGGACCAAGAGTCCAGCAGAGTTCAGTCACGATGGCAAACTGTTAACCTGTTTCGACTCAGCAATACACTCTAAGCCACGGAATCCCAGATCTTAATTACCGAGTTTACCGGGTTACAAGAAGCCAAGATCAAGCCAGCACAGACAACTTGACAGCTTGAAGACTTGTGGACTTCCGACTCCGAGAATTCCTCCTCCAGTCATGTTAGCTCAGGAATTCTGGGAGTTGAAGTCCACAAACTTGCCACGTTTGAAGACCCTTGCTCTAGCACGACATATGAACAGAGATTTGTATTCTCTTTGGCTCTAAAAAATATATTGTAAAAATCAGCCGCCAAAGTCGGATTTGCGTTTTCCTTCCTGCTGCCACTGGGGGGCAGAATGGAGCTTTCAGCATCCTCACGCTTTGCTTGTTCCTATCATCCAAATACTGTGAATTTATTAAGCCTCCTTCTTCCTTAATTTCCTCCCCATCAAAGACCCCTCCCCTGTCCTGGAAACCCCTATCCCCAGATGCCAGAATGTGCCTTTCAACATCAGCATTACTTTCCTAATCCCAGCCTAATTCCACCGCTGCTAGCCAGGACAGACGCCCTATTGTCAAAACTCTTTTAAGTTGTCTGGAAGTTTCCCAAAACAGGTTTGGCGTGGCTGCTCCCTCAAAACATTTTTTTGGGGGGGTGGGGGGATTCTTCTGTGGGGTGTGCCCACATCTGGGTCTCCTGCAAGGAACAGCTGGTTTTCTAGAGGCAGAAATCCCACAAACACCTTTGCATTAGGACCCCGTAAACCAACACAACAAACTTGAGTTTATACAAAATAAGCAAGCCAACATTCAAGCCAGCTTAGCACGTGGGGCTTAATGAAGGTACCGATTTTGAACCTGCTTTGCAAACTCGGCTAGGGAGTTTACCCAGGGCACAGCATAGCTTGTTCAATGTTGGCTTATAAGTGCGCGTTTGTGAACCTCACCGCTGAAGGAAAATACACAATTTTCTTTTGACTTTTGCATTTGGGAACCGAGTAGGAGCTAAGTGAAGCCGGTGTGAAAACCCAGGCATAGCTAGAGGGCAGCAAAGATGCCTTCTGACCTTCATCCGGGTCCTCACGAGAGAGCCGGTAAGAGTCATAAACTCAAGGAAGGTCACAAGAATAAACTAAATTGGCTTTACTGGTAAAGGAAAATAAACCTGCAGCCTTCGCAACCAGCCAAACCACATTTCTGTAACCAGCATGACTGGACATGGCCTTTGAAGCACAAGAAGGAGACGCACACAGCCAAATGCACCTTAGCGCTATTTATGACTCTTCCTCGATTTTTATTTTTAAAAAAGGACTTCTTTCTAAATCCTTGGAGAGACTGGATTTGAAAGTTATTTGCAAATGAGCTTCTAGTTCCTCAAGCAAACAGAAAGGGGTATAAAACAAGACTAGAAGACTGAAAATAAAGACACCACATCACACAATCTCTGGGGGAGAAGCAATCCGCTTTTACCCACAGCTAGTTTTAGAGAGAGTGAACGACACGGTGTCAACGGAGAGAGAGAGAAAAGAAGAGAGAGAGAGAAGGAGAAAGAGAGGTAAAAGGAGAGGGGGAGGGAGACGGAGAGAAAAGGAGGTGAGAGGGAAAGAAAGTGAAAAAGAGGGTGAGAGGAAGGAAGGAAGGAAGGAAGGAAGGAAGGAAGGAAGGAAGGAAGG